AGTGAGGCACCAGCGAAATTCTCATGCAGTTTATGTCGTTGGTCAGCTAAGTACTTCGCTTTGTTACAAGAGACATTTGGGTATGAAATATAGAAGCAATAGCTTCTGGGGAGAATATCCCAACAAAAAACTAAGGGAACCGATGAGGATCAGTGGCGTGATACGAAACTATAGTCTTCCCTGCCTTACCCCTCGGCAAACAATGCCATACATTCCCTACTAATAAATAGTTGTTTTTTTTTTATAAAACAACAAACTGGGATTCAGCCTGACTATTTTGCAAAAACAAAATACAAATGGTATCTCAAATAAACCGCCAACACTACTGATAAACTAATTTTATATTTTATGCAATTTGCATAGTACAACAATAATAAATAATGGTTAATAAATATTAACAGATTTTTAAGATACCATCATGAGCAACATTATTAAACAAAATCCTAATAAAGTTCCAGGATATAATGATTATTTAAAACTTTCATTAGCCGATATAAGGCTAAACACCTACAGTACGTGTTTCATTTTAAACTTAAGGAAATTTTATCAATTATTTTTAATAAATAAACATCAACTCGAATATACAGTAATACGACATGACCATTTCATGAATATCCAACCACCAACATTCCTTCCATTCTAAAGAATGCTGATGCCATCAACACAACTGGTAAGCTTCAACAAAACATTCCACATTTCATAATTATTTTGCTGTCCGCAGTGGTGTAGAATAAAACAGAGTCCATACCACCTGGCTCAACGATAAAACCGAAACGTACGTAGTCCTGGAATGTAAGCCACTGAACTTTACAGTTCATTATTCGCAACAAACAAAAAACTCATTTCGACAGTTCACTAAACTAATGTGGATTCGGTCAACCGCACAACAATGTACTCTGTTAGTGTGTATGTTTGATCAAACATCCCCAGTCAGTACTCGGGCCAAATAGTTAGCCTCATTTCACAGAACAAATGCAATGCACCTAACGGCTCAGTGATTCTGTCATTGAATGGACTGTCTTTAAATTAGAATTTGGCTAAATTATAATTAATGCGCGTTCTGTTTACATTGTGAATGTCAAGATTTTATAATGGAATATTTAAATAATAAACAAGTGAAATCGGCGTTGCGTTAGGGTAGTATGGAACGATATAAATAGTTCCCTCGAAAAAAAAAAACAGAAAAGAAAAGAAAGTAGTAAAGTCGCATTTTTCCTCGAATTGTTTTTACATACAGTCATGTTTGTATTATCATATACGCGAATCTGTGTGAAAATACGTCAAAAATACATAGCAAAAAAAATCAAAAACATTTTTTATGGAATTTTAAAAGAATTTTGTAATTTCCCACATTGACATGAAATTGAACGAATTCAAATACATATGTGATATTTATCTATAAGTGAACCAACTAACATCAATCCGTACACATGCCTTTCTGCAACCTATTCTAAATTTCATTTCATTCGGTCAGATTTATAGTCAAATTTATGTAAATCGATTTATAGCACATTTGACACACGCTATTCGGTATGACGCATTGTTCGAAATTTAATCTCAATCAAGCACCCGTTCGAAATATATATGGAAGCTATGTCTGCATCTGCACCAATTAAAATTTTGTAAGAAAAGATTAAAAGTCGAACGGGGCCGACTACGTGATACCCTTCGCCACTTTGGATACATACAAGAGATGCTAATATATACAATATCCTGTAGATAGAACAGACATCTAATCTTTAGAGGACCATTGAAATGGAATGGGGCGAAACTAAATGTGTGATCTACATAGATATGTGAACCAAGTAAAATACTCAATGAACATACCATTCTGCAATCTATGAAAAATTGTATGTTAATCGGATTCTTTTGTGTACCATTTGTATGAAATCTAGGAAAATAATGCAAGTGGAGCTATATGTAAATCTGGACCTAATTGAGCAACCGTTGCACCTTTGGTGTGCTGCAGCACAAAGCGCTGTTCAGAATTTTATCTCGTGTATATTGAACAGACGTAGGCTCTTCGGTGCACCATTTACCAAAAATCGGAAGAAACTAAATCTGAACCGATTTTCACAAAACGTCGTATACATTAATAACAACCTATCTCAATACATCAAAATCAGACAAAGATTACGAGTTTGGTGCACAATTTACCTAAGGTCGGACAAAACTATATATGGGATCTATATCTAAATCTGAAACGTTTTCCACAAAACTTCGCACACATCAATCTAGACCTAATCTAGTGCGCTGTGCAAGATATTGTCTCAAACGTACACATTTTGCGAGTTTGTTGTACATTTTACCTAAATTCGGACGAAACTCTATATGGGAGCTATATCTAAATCTAAACCGATTTTCTTAAATTTTTGGCTGTGCCAAATTTCATCCAAATCGGGTCATAAATGCGACCTGTACTTTGCTCACAAAAATACAGGGATGGACATGCATAAATCGACTCAGAAAGTGTATATATGCATATTTTCAAATGGAACCGTGGGTCTATCTCGATTCCTTCTGCCTGTTACAAACATATGCACAAAGACATAATACCCTGTACCACAGAGTGGTAATGGGTATAAAAACGCAATAACGTCATACTAGTCTCAATTTCGTGTCTGGGCAAATGTTATAAGTTTGGTGCATTATTTACTTAAAATCGGACGAAAATATATATGTGGAAGCTATATCTAACCGATTTTAGCGAAACTTGCCAGAGATTAATTTAATAATTTCAGTAAATTGTAAAAAAAATTGTGCCAATAGGAAAAACTTTGGGTCTTAAGTGCACAATTTACATAAAATCGGAAGAAAATATATATGGGAGCTAAATCTGATCCGATATTCACAAAAATTAGCGCACATCATTCTATACTCAATTTAGTACGCTATGCCACATTTTATGCAAATCGAAAGATATATGGGGTCTTTTTGCACCATTTACATTAAATAGGACGAAAATATATATGGGAAACTCACCACTCATCATTCTAGATTCATTTCAGTACACTATGCCAAATTTTCTGTAAATCGAAAGATATATAGGAACTTTGGTGCACCATTTTCATTAAATTGGTTGAAAATATATATGGGAGCTTTATGTAAATCTGAACTGATTTTCACAAAGCTTAGCACACATCACTCCACACTCAATTCAGTACGCTATGCCAAATTTCGTGCAAATCGAAGGCTATATAGGGACATTGGTGCACCATTTACATTAAATCGGACGAATATACATTAAATCGGACGAATAAATATAAACTGACCATTACGAAATTGAACACATATCATTCTAGACTCAATTCAGTGCGCTACGTGAAATTTCGTGCAAATCGAAACATATATAGGGACTTTAGTGCACCATTTACATTGAATCGGACGAAAATATATATGATGCCTATATCTACATCTGAATCGATTTGTCTCAATTTCAATAGGATTTGTCCTTGGGCCAAATAAATGAGCTGTGCTAAATTTCATCCAATTCGGATCATTAATGCAACTCGTACTTGTACTGTTTACAATTTAACGGATACACATGTCTAGATCGACACAGCAAGTCGAGATATGACTACTAAAGGTGGGACTAGGATCAATATTTCGCGACGTTACAAACTCTTGGGACCACTCAATGCTATAATACGTTTGCAACATAGTTGTGAATGGTACAAATACCAAATTACAGCGAACTCGGTTTTGAAACGTGCTCAAATCCCTCAATATTCCAAAAAAATAAGTATCGTTATAAAGGGGCTCCCCAAAAAATTTGACCAATATATAAAACTTTTGACAGGAAGATTTGATACATGGACCAAAATAACCCATCTTCGAGCTTGACCTGCCTGCAGACAAAAGACAACTGTTTGCACAATGTTAGTTATATATATCAATTCATTTTGAGGCTAGAGAAATTTCACAAACAAATATTATAATATTTCACTGCAGGGAAAACCTGCATGTTCTGTGAAAATTTCAGCGAAATTAATTCAGCCATCTTGAGTATAAAGCGTTTATAAAAAAGGAAGGTATAACACACCTTCCAATTTTCCAAAAAATTAATAGCATATTTTCACCACAGTGAAATCCTGTTCTGTGAAAATTCACCAAAATCAATTCAGCCATCTTGAGGATAAAGCGTTTTTAAGAAAAAGGCCGTATGGGAGGTACAACGCCCCTTCCGAAATTCCACAGTAAAAATTTCAGTTCCGTTAAAATTTCATTGAAATCGGTTTAGCCTTTTTCGAGTCTATAATGAACATACAACAAACACACACTGAGAGAAATTTCTGCATCAATATAATGAATTTCTGCATTGGCCCAATGAAATGTTTCATTAAAAAAAGACCAAAGAAACATTTCATTGGATGAATGATTCGAAAACATTTATTTAATGAAACGTTTCCATCATTGGATGGATGAAATATTGCATTAGATTAATGACAACCATTCATAGATGTATTGAAACAAGTTCATAGAATATATGAAATATCTTCACATATTTAATGTATAGTTGCATTCGTCGAATGAATCATATTCACACATATATTGAAAAAGTTTCATTGGACTAACGACAAAGTCATTAACCCAATGAAACATGTTCATTGATGTAATGAAATAAATTCATTGATTTAATGAAGCTTTCATTTATTCTATGAAACATAATCGTTAATTCAATGCAACATCTTCATAGATATAATGAAATTTATTCATGAATAGAATAAAATGTCTTCATAAATCCAATGAAATGTGTTCATAGATTGAATGAAACATATTCATACAGCAAATGAAACATTAATACAACAAATGAAACCCCTTCATATGCTAAATGAATGATGTACATTTAAATAATGAAAGGGTTTCTTTGATTTTATGAAATTGTTAATTTTTTATGAACGGGTTTCATTTGTTGTGTGAATATGTTCAGGCATTATTTACCATTTAGACAAGAATATGTTCACATACTTATTTTTTTATTTTTCTTTATTTTGTAAAAACGTATCTTTGTTAATTCATTTACAAACAAAAGAGGTCTTAGATATCTATGTTAAACTCAAAAATAATAAATTCATATTGTGACTTGTTTTGCAAGCGGTTTTTAAAAATTAATTTTGTAAATATTATTTAATCAGTGTTACAAAAGTTCATGTTTCTTCTTACATATCATATTTTGTAAACAATTCTACTTAGTTATAATTCATTTTTCAGTCCATTTTGATTTGTTTTTAACAGTAATATATTTAATATATTTTTAGCATACAAGTTCTTATAAAATACTATAACTTTTTTTACTTATATAGTCTATAAGTCTTTATTTGTAATTACTTGAGGTAATTCAAATACACAGTCAGTTTTTAATCTGCGGAATTTAGGAACGTTTGTTATTTGCATAAATCTAATTTTCGAACTTATTTTTAATTGATATGAAGATATCAATATAAAAATAGCTTAATTATTATTTAATTTAGTGTTTTAAATATCTGAGAATTTATAACTTATTAAATTGAAACCAATTACTCAGATTGTTTCTCTAAATCATCCAAGAGGATGCTTACCTTTGACTTTTTCTTTGAGCATGAACTTATTTCAAAAAAGTAGTTTTCCAAAAAGATCCAAAATGTTTCAGATGCTGTGGGATATTGTAAATTAAATAAATGGAACATTTTAAAACAAATATCCAAAGAGCGAAGAAAATTAGGAAACCGTATGAGGTCACCATCAAAATAAACAAAAATTTCATGTATATCGTCCAGACTTCCGATTCCCAATATAAAAGGCTGAATATGTTCTTTCATCTTTAACAAAAAATCAATATGGTCGTGTAATTCTTGCAAAGTCTTTCCCAAAAACAAAAACGTCTTCTGGGAGTCCTTTATTGTATAGCGAGATATTTCTTTCTTTCCGAGAATTGTTTTTCGAACTTGCCGCCCAGTCGGGAAAAGAACATAATGTAAAATCCACAGGGTTTTCACTGCAAATGTGCCTCGATCTGCAAATAATAACGTTAAATTAGGTTTGATCGATTTGTTGAGCTTGACTTGAAGACTCTTACCCTTTTCCAAATCTTCGTCCTGGAGAGTTTCTAACATTTTTGACTCACCATGACATTTAAGTTGCTTAGATTTTTTCAAAAAGTTAAACAACTTTAGGATTTTTTGGTCCCAGTTGAGCATTTTGTTGTGCGATTTATGCATTATTGAGAAGTCAATATCAATCTGAATTTAAAACAGTTTTTGTAGAATTACGCTAAAATTATCAAATGTTTACAATTTGATATATATATACTCACCAACTTATAATGTGATTTATATTCAGGCCACTTTTTAAGAATCTCTCGTAGGCTACTGCATTCGTTAAGTACTTGATTAAGTCTATAGTTGGCACAAGAAATCCACTTTGTTTCAAACTCTTCAGCTGAAAGCTTGTCATATTTAAGAACTTGCACCAAATCCTCTCCATTCTCCTCAGGTACTGAAAATACAAATTAATTAAAAACCATTACTAAACCACAAATTCCACATTTCCTACCAAAAGTAATTTTAGCCTTTTTTGACGCCGTAGGTGATTCGTTTTCCAGCATAAAAATCTGCTTGCTTTGTTTTTTAAGATTTTGGGATTTTACATAAATTTTTCCTCTACGTTCTGTTCGATAGAATTCAAGTTTTTCAGTCGGAAATAGAGACAATATTTGCGTTTCGAGTTTGTAGCTTGCTTGAAGAGTCATTGGTGCGTCTTTTCTTGCAAAATGCTGGGCAGCAATGTTTATAATGAAAACTCTTAGTTCATCTGTGAGAAACTTGTTTTTTTCGTAAAACTGTAGCACACGTTCCCCATTTTTATTACTTTGCAATATCTCCAACATATTGACGTTATCGACTTCTTCCGTATCAGATGAGTTACACGAATCGGCTTTTTTGGGAAAAACTGGAGGACTTGAACATTCTGCCCAAAATGGATGGTTAATATCATGTCTCCACTTTGTGAAATGGTGAATGAACTGGGCCTTGTCTCCAATTCTCCAATTCTGTGTCAGCTCTTTAACATGTTCCTCAGTTAGTATTTTCAAAATATCAATAGAAATATGTTCACCTATAAGAAGTTAACGTTATTATAGCACAAAAAACTAATTATATAGGTTCAGCATATAAGTTAAATCTTACGTATGAGTATGTCCAATTTGTCTTCTATACCCCATGATATAAGTAAGTTTTTCAAGGCATCTTCTTCCCCACAGCTCAAAGTCTCCGAGTTTGTTTCAGACATTTTTAAACTAAAAATAAATTGTTTAGCATGGAAAAAGGTATTTTTAAATTGTTTCTTTGAAACGAGCATAAATTTTCCCTTAGCGGTATTAATCAATGTGGCCGGTGGTCCAATTAATTCGTCAAGCTTCAAAACGGAATATTCTCCTTTATCATTTGGAATAATTTCAAATGCAGTGTAGTGTTTCAAATACGTACTGTTTAGAACTTGTTGACAAACCAAATAAACTGTGAGTTGTGAAACAACGATGTTGACAATTTTGTATACATCATCTTTTTTTGTTGCTACAAAATACGAACTTTTGTATGTGATATTTTTATAAACAACTTTTTCAAAAGTCTTTATAGTATTTTTTGCAACTTTTAATTTGAGGCTTATAACGTCCAGCAAATAATCTTGACACTCGCTGATATTCGAGCAAATAATGTCCGGAATCTCAGTTTTTTCTAACAAAAAATCTGCAAACACAAATTGATATTTTTTTGCCATGGAAACAGAAATATTTTTTCTAGACGTGATTGCGTGAGCATACAATTTAAAGCTCCTATGTTTTGCCTCATACGGAAAACACCAAAAATTTCGTACTGGGCCGCAAGCCCTTATAACTTCAGGATAATGCGTCAGTATATGAAACTTAGGTTTAAGTTTATCATTAAATAACTTGAGATACATTTTATTATGTCTTTTTATATTACTTTCCAAAGAATTTATCATGAAGGCGTCCACCCGAAAAGACAATATAGTATCTACTATTTCAATTAATGTTAGTACGAGCTGCCAAACTTCATCGTCACGTGGCACGAAATCGCCTACCATAATGGGAAAATATATAACAAAAGTTAGCATTTCACGAGCAGACATTTTTAAATGCTTTTTTTCCAAATGTAGCTTAGTAATATGTGGTGAAAAATTACCAATTTCAAGCTCTCCATACTCAAAGCATCGTTTACGTTTATTTAATTCTTCAAGTGAAAAGTATTTTTTGGTTGTAACCAAATACAATATGACATTTGTCATGTCATAGTGGCATACGCCCTCCAAGACATCATGCATTGCGTCTACGCTTATATTGTCAATTACATGAAAGCTTGGAATTTTGTTGAATTCACATTTTTCAATGATTCCGGTTTTCTTTGAATCAGTAATTTCTAATGCGCTGTTATATTTACCGTAGTCCCGCCTGAGCTCCGGATTGGCCGAACATGATTTCTGACTAGATTGATAATCAATCTCACAAAAACGGCAAAACTTTCCGTTGAAATTTTTTATGAACCCAAGAATACTATTCAAACCCAAATTGTCGCCCAGAATTAAAAGAGGTATAAAATAAACATGAAATGTAGCACCGTCTGACATCTCTATATCCAAACCTTCGGTTTCTAAAAATGCCATTTGTTCAACTACTGATGCAAGACACTTTTTATTCCCGAATTTTTGTATGTCTTTGTTTTTAATGCTTCCTAGGAAAAAAATATTGTTCAATTTTGTGGCGTTAGGCAGTGTAGGAAAAGAAAAGTATAAATTGCAGATTGAATGGGTAGTGGCGTGGGAACCTAATGGGTTATTAATCTCGATATCGTCGGAGTAAAAGTTATAAGGAATTAATAGTTTACCGGGATACCGGCTAACCTTTTTTTGCCACAGTGGTCCCTGAATAATATTTTGAAATTCATTGGAGTTCTCAAGTTCATGACAAATCGACCGCATTTGGTAAAAATTTTTATTTTTTTCTAGAATTTTTTTGAACATAAATGCCATAGGCATTGTTGTAATTTTTGTTGTCAAATTTGAGTGGACCAACTTACCTTTAGTATGAGCTAGTGTTTCTCTTTGATCAATCACCGTTTCTTTTAGATCTTGAAGAAGATTAATCTCTTTTAGTTTTTCGGAAAGCAAATACTCCGTTTTAAGCTTTTCTAAAATTGCAGAATATTTTGATAGTAATATTGATAATTTTGTGGACAAATTATTATCTAAGTCTTTTGCAAAGGCATTTATTACTTCCAAAAACGGGTTAACGACTGCATCAATGACATTACCATAAATAAAAGTAACATCTTTTCTTGAAAAATTATAGTTTGAATGCATACTTGTTAGGAATTTAATAACGTTCTCGCTAACCCTTTCAAATTTCTTTTCTTCCGATTCAGGCTGCAAATAGTTTGAAGGAGTTGGAGAAACGTCAATATTTTGTTCGCATTGATTGTCAAGAATAACCGGAATGTCTGCTTCTATTTCCTCAATTTGTTTCACACTTGTTAAAACCCGCGTCTCTTTTATTTGATTTTTTTGTTCTTGGGGAGAAAAACTGCTGTTATGCCGTTTTGCTATATGTCTTTGAAAAGACCTATATTCATAATTTTGACCACAACACTTGTATAAATCAGTAGATTTCAGAAAATGATCACCCCGAAGGTGTTTGAAGAAATGTTTTTTGTCACAAAACTTTTTTTTACACATAAAGCAAATCATTTTATTTTGTGTTATTTACCACTGTTTTTTATTTTGTTTGAAGAATGTATTTCTTTTATTTTTATTTAATTCACAAACTCACTTTTAAATGTTCTCCGATTGAAAACCACAATGAAATGAATAAGCAATTTTCTATTTCACTTCGCTGAACCAAAAATATGTGACAAACAAAAATATACCGTTATAATTGATCGTTACTCTATTTTGTTAGTGGAGTTGTTCAGACGAAAGAAATATGTGTGTGTGTAGTTGTTGCTTCCATAGTTTGCCAACAAGTTCATGAGTACACATTAAATGTGATGCAAACTTTTCAGAATAAAAAACGCGTCAAAATATAAACTTTTTTATATAGAACGAGTACCAATCCGCTTTTTCGAAACAAATATAGACGACATTTGTTATTATAAAAAATGTTTTGTGTTCTATTAAAAACTAATGGAGTGAAGCTTTATTTAAAACACAAGTATACAATACACATAAATACATTGCGAATTATTAAAATACTTATAATAAATGTACTAATAATTAATGTTTTTAAGAAACCAGATATAGGTCTGTACACTTAAGTAAACTGTTTGTTTATTTATACTATATTAAAAATAAAATAAAAGCAAATTAAATAAACGAAAAAAAGGACTTCTGCCTAAAGGCAAAATCCGTTGAAAATGTTATTGTTTTGCAAGTTTCGAGGTACGATTCCACAAATATAGTCTCAAACGGCTCAAACGGAAAATGTCAAATGATTTCAATTTATTGATAATTATTTGACATAAAATTGAAAGATTAATTGTTTGGTGAGAAAAGGCCTGTACGATTTGGCTTCAAAACGATAAAACATACGATAAACGATATATCGTTTCCCGTGAAAAAGCCTTAACGCAATATAAAATTCTTAAAATTTCTTTAAATTCTTTACATCAATGTCTCAGAAGTTTGATAAATACAGAACGGAGCAATACATAAATATTAAAAAAACATAAAAAATGGTTAAAGATGCAAACATGTTTATTACTTCGTCTGTAGCTGTCACAAGTTCCGGATCACTTTTCGATTTTATTGCGATTATATTTTTTCTTTTTCAAGTGTACACAAAATATATCAGAGCAACAATAAATATAATTGTATAAATCTTTCGTCTACTTAAATTAAATAAACGCGAAATATAGTTAGAATAAGGCTAAGTTATCAACACTGAATCAAACTCTATGTTGGTACGCTCCCATACACACACACGCTTTACTGAATAACCAAACTACAGTTGACACTCGAGTATGCGATATTTACAAAATTATATTAAATATAAAATTGTTTGTCTAATACATAAAACATACCCGCCAATATTATTTTGTAAATTAAATAAAATATATTTTTATAAACTGAAAAATTTCATCCATGAAAGGCTTTCCATTATTCATTATAAATCAAACAGGAACTATTTCAGATAATCGAGGTTCAACTGTATTTTCTTCTTAGTGCAGTTTCAGTCACGTTCAGTCTTGTGTATTTTGTTTCTCGTAACAAGAATGTTTTTGTATATTTAGGCTTCTAACGAACATTATTAAGGAAAAAGCTAGAAATAATGTTTAGAGAGATTTGACCAAACGTAAAAAGCAAAGCACAGCATGTCCATTTATTTATGAAGCCATCTCATTAACAATGTGAAACGGTTCATTCAGCCTATGAACATTCTCTATAAACATTGTGGACGAAAAATTTCAATGTAGTTTCATAAGAAATAATGCAATTTAATGAAGCTATTTCAAAACATGTATGCAACTTTTCATTCGACCAATGAACATCTTTTATGAAAATGGGTTATGAAAACCTTCATTAAAGTTTCATAAAAATGAAAGCAATTTTATGAAGCAATTTCATTTAACCTATGAAATATTGCATTCAACCAATGAAATTATTTTTATGATTTTTTTTTATGAAGCCTTCATAACACCTTCATTGGATCAATGCAACTTTTGCATTGGATCTATGAAGTTTCATTCTATTAATGAAAATTTTCATTGGATGAATGAAAAAATTCTTATGAAAATGTTTCATTGATCCAATGAAGCATTTTTCTCTCAGTGTACTAAAAATCAAATAATATGCGCGACTGACCCCATATTTACCAATTTAAGAAAAAGGCAGTTAAGTCGGACTGGGCCGACTATATGATATCTTTCACCACTTTGGGTATATTCTACATATGTATCCGAAAAGACGTCGCCTTTTTTAAATAATTTTGACATGAAATTGAACGAACTTAAATATGTGAATTTTTTGTGTTACTGGAACCCATGCTAAATTTCATTTCATTTGGGTATGTTTAGAGTCGTTTGCGCACAGTAGGACAGATTTGTGTAAATCGATTTAAAGCAAACGTGACACACGCTATTCGGTTGCACTGTTTAAAATTTAATCTCAATGAGACACCCACTGATTATTTGGTGTAAAATTAACATAAATAAGTCGAAATTATTATCTATATCTGAACCGACTATCTGACTTTGGTGCACCACTTACCTAAAATCGGGCGAAACTATATATATCTAAATCTGAACCGATTTTCACGAACCTTAGCACACATAATTCTAGCCCTATTTCAGTAGGCTATATCAAATTTCGTGCAAATAGAAAGATATATAGGCACTTTGGAACACCATTAACCTAAAATCGGGCGAAACTAAATATGGGAGCTATATCTAAATCTAAGCCGGTTTTCAGGAAACTTAGCACACGTGCAAATCAAATCATTTTTAGGGACTTTGGTACACCATTAACCTAAAATCGGGCGAAACTATATATGGGAGCTATATCTAAATCTGAGCCGATTTTCACGACACTTAGCACACATCATTCTAGACCTAATTTAGTAGGCTATACCAAATTTCGTGCAAATCGAAAGATATATAGGGACTTTGGTACACCATTAACCTAAAATCGGGCGAAACTAAATATGGGAGCTATATCAAAATCTAATCCGATTTTCACGAAACCTAGCACACGTGCAAATCAAATCATTTTCAGGGACTTTGGTGCACCAATTACCTAAAATCGGCCGAAACTATATACGGGAGCTATATCTAAATCTGAACCGATTTTCACGAAACTTAGCACACATCATTCTAGACTTAATTTAGTACGCTATGCCAAAATTCGCGCAAATCAAATGATTTTCAGGGACTTTGGTGCACCATTAACCTAAAATCGGCCGAAACTATATATGGGAGCTATATCTAAATCTGAACCGATTTTCACGAAACTTAGCACACATCATACTAGACCTAATTCAGTAGACCATACCAAATTTCGTGCAAATCGAAATATATGTTGGGACTTTGGTACACCATTTACCTAAAATCGGACGAATCGAGCTATATCTAAATCTGAACCGATTTCCACGAAACTAAGCACACATCATTCCAGACCTAATTTAGTAGGCTATACCAAATTTCGTGCAAATCGAAAGATATATAGGGACTTTGGTACTCTATTTACTTAAAATCTGACGACAATATATATGGGAGCTATATCTAAATCTGAACCGATTTTTCCCAATTTCAATAGGGTTCGTCCTTGGGCCAAATAAGTGAGCTGTGAAAAATTTCATCCAAATCGGATCATAAATGCGACCTGTACTTTGTTTACAATTTAACATCTACAGATGGACGGACGGACATGCATAAATCGGCTCAGAAAGTGATTCTATGCATATTCTCAAAAGGAACCATTGGTCTATCTCGATTCCTTTTGGCTGTTACAAACATATGTACAAAGACATAATACCCTGTACCACAGTGTGGTGAAGGGTATAAAAATTGAGTTTTGTAAATATTAATAGATTAGAATTTCCTACACACAAAATGATATTACAAACTGTGATGTCATGTCTGAGTGTACAAAAATGTTTTTCAAATGTTTTTTCTATGGTTTGTTAATAGTTATAGCCACCCCATTCCATGCACCCGACTCCTTGCACGCCATTTGTTTCCAGGTTCCAAACTATATACCGCAAATAGATGAGAAAGGTGTCAGGTAATTGAATTTCTTTGAAATTGAGATGACTGCAATTTGTTATACACACGCGCTCACACATAGCGCCAACGTTTCAAATTAATGCGATTCCTAGGTGTACGAGTGTGTGTGTATGTGTTGGTGTTTTAGTAAAACAATTCTCTTAATAACACTTTACCCCAACACAATACAAGAACACTGGAAATGCCTGACTTACATTGTCCAAACACACGACCCATTTGTCTTACAAGTGTGTTGTTGTGCTCCACAGCCCCACCGACCCGAAAATGACAAAGTGACCTGGACCACTACAACCTCTTCAAACGATGCTGCTGCTGTGGGTGTTGTTGTTGTTGTTGCTGTTTTGTGTGCCACAACAATGGTAGCATAAAGCGTTTTATGCGACAACTGATATATGACAGAACATTAAGAGAAATATATTAACCTTTTTCTGCTGAATCTAATGTTTTGACACACCTCCGGACACACATTAAAATAATGATATTTATTAATTTTCCCCAAAAAAATAAAACCCTCCGCTCCATTAGAACCCATCAACCAATTTTACCACAATCGTCGTCGGCGGTGGCATTTAATTATTTGTGCAAGGAACAACAATTGATAGGATGAGATTTGTCGTTGCCTTCTTCATTTTGAGGCTGGCTCGATTGTTGTTGGTGAGCAAATATGAAAAGGATATTTGGTGGCTGGCGAAATAACCCAAAAATCGTTGAAAGCAATAAAAGTTTGGCCATTATGTTAGTGTGGATCATTAGTTTGATTACATTGGAACAAACAGAAAAAAAATGATAATATGTTGAATGATTATTGGCACTGTGTTTCACAGTGTTTGGAAAATTACAAAATGATGAAAACCACAAAGATAACGATCAAGTTTAAAGTGGTTAATATTATAGATAATCTTCAAGTATGGCGTAAAAATGATCAACGTCAGAACCTACACCACTTTTAGCATTTACAACATGGACTCTTAGGATCTTGCTGTACCGTGTTTTAAATTATATATGGGTGTCGATTTATATAAAACTTGGCACACACTACTCGCTACTTAATTCGAATTCACCTATCGTATCAATATATAGATTGACAAAATTCCATTAGACAAATCGTTAAAGTTAG